CAAAAAATATAGGAGAGTCTATTCTCCATCAGACAAAGAGCCATTAGCAATGTATGCAGCAGGGGAGAAAGAAAAAGTAAATAACATACCATAGAAAGACCAACAAAGACCCCAGAGCCATTAACTGAGAGTGGTTCACAGGCTGCTTACAGTAAGAACCATAAAATCGGCAGAACAGTCTCAAATGGTAACTTGTTCTACTCAAAATCCCAACACATTTGACTTAGCAACACTGTGCCTTATGAGGCAACAAACCACAAGATATTTTTGAGCTCAAAGTTGGAAAGGCAAAACTAGACAAATGCACAAGTTCAACTAGGGTAACATTTTTAATGAGTTGCAGTCAATAGAGAAAATCCATCTCGTAAAAGTAACCCTTTATTTTCGATCTAATTCTGGTTGTTTCCTAGCCAAATTAATTTTCCAAGTTAGTTGCAGTATAAGAGAGAAAAATACAATTTTATAATGAAAACTAGCACCCAACCTAATCACAGGATAACCCACTGCTTTTCCATAATAGAATCGACCTTCCACAACTATCAATGCAAGATGACAAACATTAAATTACATCCAGCAGAGGAGCATCAAGTCCGAAGTCATTTTCCAAACACAAGTGAAAGCCGCTTGATCATATCAGTTTAAGAAAACCTTTTAAAACCAAAACAGAAATTAATAAAAAACCCACCCAAAATAAAACAAAAATCCCAACCAAGATTTAATGCTGCTTTGTCTCATCCAGGTGATGTAAGGCTCATTACAATGTGAAAAATACAGACAATTTTAATACTATTCAATTTCTTATGTTAATTATGATTTAAATGTTTGTTTTGTGAAGATTTATATTGCTTCTGTGGAAAAAAACTCTCATATGTACACGACATAAATCCAGAGAAATCTATTTCAGTTATTTTATTCTGAATATTTGGTTATAAACCCAAACTGCATAAGAACACCTCTCAAAGTATTGCTTTTATTAGCTGCTTTTTTTTAATCCAAGTTATATTCATCTTAAAAAAAAAAAAATTCCACTGTGCATTTTAACTTAATGCATTAAAATCTTAGAAAGAGATCTCCCAGGTCCTCACTAAATTAAATCTGGCTCTACCTTAATAGCAATTACAGTTCTTATCTCTGTAACTACTGCCGGAAGGTTGGTTGGATTCTCCTGTCCTAACAGTTAGGAATCCCCTTCTAACTTCCAAATGCGTCTGTTTACGGACAGCCTGTATCAATCTCAATTAATGTGAAAATTTCCTCTTACCTTTCCACTCTATATATTTACAGATAGCAATCAGAATGCTTTTTTCCTGCTCCAGAAAAGATTAGTATATAGGCATTAATAGGAAGAGCCTCTTCCTTGCATCAGACCTATCAATCACGCAGTCATGCAGCAAGTCAAACAGGGAATCTGATCCAACAGAAAACTGACCCAGCAGAAGAACTAGTTCGCTGTCAGATCAATGAGATTCTTTCAGCAGCTGCCCGTTAGAGCAGAATAAATGTATCATGAAACTGCACACCAAGAGTTTACAGAGAACTAGTTAGCCACCTCGAAAATAAAGCAAATAACATCTCATAAGAAGCCCTCCTTAAAGCTAGCATTTTCTCTTCAACAGGCCCTTGAATATCCCAGCCATCATGAAGGATACAACAGACAAAAAAGCTTTATCATTGGAAATCCGTATCACGTGGCCTTGGTTTTCAAAATAGCATGTGGCTAGACATGGATGAGCAATAAGAAAAGTTCACATTCTCACAGAGAAAAAGAACAGAACTTCTCTGACCTGCTAAATCAAAGGGATGGATGCCCATATGACTAACAATTACTTTCATTTTATAATCCCCACCAAAACTTTTTAATGCCCCCTAAAAAAGGCCATTCTGCACCTGTGCTTAGTTACCAGAGAATCTAAAGCCTGTTCTGTTCGGAAGCTTTGTGACAAACCATCATGGTGTATCACCGTGCACACCTTTCCTCCTGCAAAGCCCACAAAGGCGCTTCAATATATTGTTATTTTTCTCATTTGACTGGCAAAGGGCTGTTGTAACTGAACTCCTCCCTGAAGGCACTACCCAGCTCCTCAGGGAGAGGTATGAGTGCTTTCCAGAGGTGACTGGCTCTGTTTCAGCAAGTGGTAACTATTCATGTTCACCATGCACTCAACCCTGGCACAGCCCATACAAAGAGCTACCGGTGGACGACGGTAAGACTATGTCATTCCCTCCTCCATCAGATATAAAAGAGATGCTTTAAGAGTCCCTCACCAGGTTCATTAAAACGAACAGCATTCTCCAATAGCTCTAAAATTATGTCTGCACTTGGTCAAATGCATAGCATTTATAGGGGTGTTGGTTTGGGGTTATTTGGAGAAAGTGGGGTGGGGCATGTTTGGTTGGTTTTTTACTATTTTTGATGGTATTAATTCTGAATGTAATCTCATAACAAGTCTCCTGTAAATTAAGAGAACAAATACAAGGTGTTAATGAAAAAAGACGTATTTGACTAAGCATAAAATTTTAAGTCAACTGGTACAAAATAAATCTCCATGAGTTTGAAATAAAGTCATGTAAGCAACCTAAACTTAGTGAAAGTTAAGGCAGGCAAGTTCATTGTGTCCAAGAATCTGATTCAATATACCCTGACTTCAATTTCCTCCCTAGGCAGTCAGTTAAAAAAATTATATCAACATTTAATAGCACCCTTAAGGTAACTAGCAATAAAGTTTATCTACAGATTTAGCATCCACCTGTTTAATGGGTGTATTCTTACATATAAACATTTAGAAATACATTTTACATATCAAAAGATACAAGCTTTTTAAGTGGAAAGAAGGAAAGGAGTTTCCAAAGGAAACTCTCACAGAGGCATTCTACAGGTATTGCAACAGAAAAACAACTACTATTTAAATAACTCATATGGCTCATGTTATACCCTAGACAAGGACTAATCCAATACCTTTGAGGTCTTTTTTACCTTAGAAGAGGGATTTACTCCTCAGCAAAGATACATCTTTATGCTAGTAGAACTGCTTCCACTTGGCTAACTGATCCATTCCCCAGAGTGAGAAAGACAAAGTCCAGTAAACCCATACCCCGGGGGGGCCTCCACAGGCAGCACCTGTTCAACACAGCACCAGACTGGTCCAAGTCAGGCACCTCCAGGGACCTGAACATCTGAACCTTCATCCCTCCTTAGTCCCTATTCACAGCCTAGGAAATGCAAACAGAACCACAAAAGCACCACCTGGGTCAACAGAAAGCCATCTCATTCTAAGGAAGAAGTACTTTCCTCAACTATTTTGTTTCTGCCAGTGGAAAATAAAATGCTTAATGACAAAGCTGAGCACACACAACTTCCAACCCAGATCAATAACATGTAGTTCTGTTTGTCATCACCCTGGTAAGAGTTAGCAATTGGTGTATAATACTGAAGATAATCAACAGCATCAGCAGGTAAGACTCCTGGACTTTTTTCACTTAAGTGGCCTCATTCCTAAGAAACAGCAGTCTTAGAGTTGGCCTTTGTCATCTGTAGTATTTGCTGGAAGTTTAAAATGTTGCATATAAATAAAACCAAGTTATCCCAAAGTAGTTCATTAGCAACAAGCAACATATAGGCCGAGAGATGAAAAACTTTCCATCACACATACTGTTAACGACAGTTACCCTTACACAAAGTAAAATTCAAAATAATCTAATCCAAATAAAGGGAATGGAGACTGAACACATCTGATCTGCGTTAGTTGGACACGTGAACGAAGCGCTGAAGCACACAACCAGAAAGTCCTCTTCCTATAGGTACATGGGAGGGGGGCAGCAGACAGGTTAAACCTCACACGGCAAACCGGGTCAGAAGCAGGTTGGCTGGGGTCAACGCGAAGTGTAATCCCCCCGCTGGCCTTACGTGCCATCGCCGGGGACGGGGCCGAGGGACACAAGGAGATGGGAGCGAGATTAAACAGTGAGGGAGAAGAGGATACATATATATGGATTAAGAGAAAGTCATCACGTGAGTAGCAGATCTATGGGTGAGATTTACCTCCCCCATGAAAGCATCGGAAAAATGCAGAGTAATCTAAGCGGATGCACGCACATGTGCGCATCCACGGCAAGCACACACGCAGGCACACAAAGCACAGAGAGCGCATCCGCGGAGTTGCCGGGGTCCCAGTGCGACCAGCAGGTCAGGGCTCTAGCGGCGGGTGCCGCTGCACCGCGGGGCAGCACCGGCACTACCACCGAGCCGCACCGGGCGGGGCGCGGCGCGTTCTAGAAGGAGCCGCCGCCCCCCGGGGCCGCCCGCCCGCTGCCGGGCGGATAAAGTTTGCAGCAGCAGCAGCCGGCGCCGCCGCTGCAGTGCCGGGCGCGTCCACCGCAGTGAGCGAGCCCAGCCTGCGGGAGAGCGAGCGCCGGTAGGCCCGGGGCCGGCCGGCCGCCACGGCATCCCTGCCTGCCTTCCCCGCCTCCGCCCCGCCGCGCCCCCGCTCCACTGACCGATCACCTCCTGCAGCTCGTAGGCGTCCCTGCAGATGGGCCAGCCGGCGGCCGGGGCGGCGGGAGCGGCCGCCGGCTGGGGCTGCTGGACGTGGACCGGCGACTCGCCCTGCTCCGCCATGATGCTGCCGGAGCGCCCAGGCACCCGGCGACCTTCTCCAAACTTCCCCTCCAGCAACACCTTTCGGCCGCGCTCTGCCTGCCGCCCGCCCTGCCCGCGCAGCCGGCCGCCCGCCCGGCGGAGGGAGGAGGCAGGGCACCGAGGGGGAGGAGGCAGAGGCGGGCGCCGCCGCCGGCCCCGGCCGCTCGCCCCGCGCCGCTGCGGGGAGACGGAGCCCCAGCCCGGTGCCTGGGCCCGGCGGTGCCGGTGCGGTGCCGGCAGGGCGCGGCCCTGCCCCCGGACGCGCCTCGCCCGCGGCAGAAGCGGAGCCGCTCCGGCAGAGGCGCCCCCCCAGGAGCGGCCACGGGCCCCCCGGGATCGCCGCCTTCCCCCCGCGCCTCCTTACCTGTCCGCCTGCTGGCGGCATCCCTGCCCATCGTCCTTCCCCGCTCATCCCGCGGCTCCCTGGGATGCTCTCCGCGGCTGGAAGCACTGTGAAGTCCTGTGTAGGGCTGCGGGCTGAGCGTGTGCAGGCCACGGCCCTGCCGGCGGACTGCGGGATCCGCCAGGACCGAGCGCGGGGCCGGGAAGCTCTGCAGGGAAGCCTCGTCCCGTGGCGGGGATGCTGCACCTGTTAGGCCGGTAACAGAAGCACACAGACTTCTCTGGAGCACAGCTCACAAGTGTCACTGCCGAGAGCGCTGCTGTCGCAAGATGACTTGTATTTAAAATTTGGGGACGTAAAGAAAGTGGTTAAATCACCGTATGACATGAGTGTCCCTTTCATGAGAGAGTAGCAGAACTGCACCATGTCATCTCAGTGCAGACACTGCCTCAGCTCATGCCACCGAGGACTGAGTACTTTTGAGAATGCTCCTCTTGGCTAACCAGAAACAAGTTATATAAATAAATAAGAATCATAATTAAACTTCTCTAATGCTTCCCATTATACAAGGTCAGGTTAAAAAAGCCTCTGTGTTAGATGAAACTCTGCTGTTAATACATTTTTTTTTCTATCCTTTTAGTTGTGTCAAGTGTTTGTGATATCAGCAGGATTTTACTTACTATGAAGTAACAGAAAATAGCTAGTAGTCTACAGTCTCACTCCTACTCTGAATGCTTTGTATTTTAAGATCTATGGAGATCTGGAAGAAATAGTGGTAGTAAAAGATTTCCATATATTTCACAATCTCACTTCCCACTACAGCATGAATTTAAGGTAGTTGGAACTAATACAGCATGTGAAGAGGAAAGCTTTCGAAGTCAGAACTGAGATTAAAAGAACTGAACCTCTTAAATTGTGAGGTAGTATGATGTAATGTGATTTAAATTCACACTAAGATACATGTAACAACACCTGTTGGATACTTTATTCAGTCCTAGTTCAGTTCGGGATAATCCTCTTCTACTAACTAAATTTTTTTAATGTGGCTTATTCAGCAAAGACTTTCAGTTAATTGAAGGTTATTCAAAAAAAGCAAGTTATTTTTCTTTTGTTGTGTTGCTGAGAAAGCTGAAGGAAGAAGTCATCCCAGCCACTTCTTAATGTTTCATCAGAAGGTGTATCGACAACTTGCAAATATGGAATCATCTGTGCACTGCACCGTTTTCTCACAAGCAACAAAGGCTTCTAGTAGTAGAAAAAAAAACCCACACATTTTTGTGCTAAACCAATGATTCCTCTCAATCTCATTTTTAAAAGCTAGGTGATTGAAATATTTTCCTATACTCAAATTAGAAATTATTTGCCACAAAACTAAAGGTCAGCAAGACTTGAAAGAGGAAATATTAAATTGTCATTCAGTATTTAGTTTAATGCCAAGACCTTTCTGCCAGCAATAGCATGGGGGGGGGAGGTAAGTTAGAGAGCAACAGCACAGGCCAAATCAATCAGCACAGAAAATGGGTTACTCACTATTGATGGAACACAGCCAATTTCTCCATCTGTACTCAGTTGTTGAGAATGGTGGCAGGGAGGGTAGGAGGTGGTTAGTTCCTGAGCCATGAATTTCTGTGATGCTGCTGCCATATGACTATTTAAACTTCTGGTTAACATCTGATACCATTAGAGTTATTTTTGTCCCTATTATTGTCCCAGTTTGTCGAAGTAAGCACTACAGCTTTGGGAATTTCTAGGTGCACCTGCACTCTGCAATTTGTCGAAATGAGCAGTTTTGACAGAAGAACCTTCCAGGATGGCAATTTTATAAACAGATAGGCCCGCGGGAAGTGTTCCGTGCATGCCGGGTACCACGCAGGAGAGGTCCGAGCGCCCCAGCGCCGGTGCGGGCCCCGAGCGGGGCCGGTGCGTGGGGCCGCCCGCCCCCTGCTGCAGGCGGCGGGGAAGGACCCGCAGCGCCGCACTCGGCCGCGCCCGCTACGCGCTGCTCCCGCAAGGCTTTCCGGACACCGGGAAAAATAGCAACCCGCCGATTTTGGAGATCCCAGAGGAATGGATAGAAATCACGTAAAAATCACTGTTCTTCGAATTGATGACAGCTCAGAATGGTCCCCTCTGAACGTGGTTTGGCATTTTTGAGCTTGAAGACATAGGACTCCATGAGATTGTCTGGGTCACTGAGTCCACTTTGGAATCAACCTTTTGGTGACTGAATAAAAGCTTTACATAGCCAGGCTACAATCAAAACTGGCAATATTTAAAATCATGTAGGCCACCATGGGAGAAGAGTTAAGCCATGCTCAGACCTTTCAAAAATTCCCAGCAGATGGGGAAAAAAAGTGTTTAGAGCAAAATAACTCAGACTCCGTTTTAGTTTTGGAGGACTTAGGCAAGAATAACATGATTTTATAAGCAATGGTACATACGCCAGTAGCATAGACAAGGGACAACCAAACTCCATTTTTTTCTGAATAGAAAGGCAGCAGATAAAACCTAAACAGCAGTATATCCTAGCGTAGACTAAATCAGAGAAAGAAGGAACTATTCTCTCTACCATCACTTCAACCTCAGAGAAATGAGTGAACTAAAACCATGCTCTCCCCCCAAAAATAGTCTAAGATTTCATTTATGACCATCACATACTGTAGCACAGCTCTCTCCGATTATGTAGGTAAGATCCAAAAGCCTCTAATTTGGTAGCAGCGAGGGACAGCTGTCTTTAAACAACATCATGAGATATGAAGGCTGACACAACAGCAGCTGGTGCTGATGGGAGCAGGCTAAATGCTTTCAACCTCCCTTTCTCCTCTGGTGAAAGCATAGTTAAATAGGTAACATGCCCATTATTGTCACTAGGATGCTTGCTTTCGCCAAAGCTTGCAGTTTAGGTTAGTTTCTGCTCACAAAGAATACATGAGTATCTTCTTGGCAATTCACATTACAAAAAGCATCTTACTTGATAGAGAATCACAGAAATGTTAGGGTTGGAAGGTACCTCTGAAGATCATTCAGTCCAATCCCACACCTGCCAAGGCAGGACCACCTAGAGCAGATGACACAGGAACACGTCCAGGTGAATTTTGAATATCTCCAGAGAAGGAGACTCACAACCTCCCCCTGCAGCCTGTTCCAGTGCTCTGCCACCCTCAATGTAAAGTTCTTCCTCCTGGTGAGATGGAAACAATGGAGCATTTACACTGGAAAACCTTGTGAAGCATTTTTCAGTTAACTTGCTCTTGTTACCAAACCAGCCAAAACTTTAAAATCACCAGCTAAAAATCTCTTGCTAATTCCAGCAGCATGAGCACCAGTGGCTCATTACCTAAATAATGATGGCACACCAATGATTATACATTTCAAACATTCAGAATTCAGAATTTTGCATACATTTAGAATATTTACATGCTAGCCATTCATGTGTTGGCAACAGTAGCCTTTTTACAACAAATGCCTCTTGGAACCTGCAGAAATCACTATTTCCAGTATGATTACTTGAATGAATTTAGGATATGGTCACCATGAAAATGACAATAAACTAAAGATTACTGTTGGTTTTGCACTCCAGTTCATTATCATTAAGATGATGTGGAGGTGTCTGGCTTACTGAGGCTTTTAGCAGGAATGAACTCTCTGTAGTTGTGAATGAATAAAACTCAAACATATAAAAGAGTTGATCTAGGAACTTCTACAGCTTTCATCACTGTAGGATATGAACACCTCATGCATATTAATAAATTAATCTTCTCATACAAAAAGACTAGGGAATATAATTATCTCGATTTCACAAGTGGAAACAGAGAAAGCTTAAGGGATTTGCTAAAGGTCATAAAAGAAGTGCGTAGCAAAACTGGGAGTGCAACACATATTTTCTTAGGATGGGATTTCACACAGCCTCACAGCAAGATCAGGAATCTAATGTGGTTGACAGCTGCTTAATTCCTGGTTGGGTTCATCTGAAAACACTGACTAGTCACTGGGCAGCCAAACAAGTGATAGACAGGCTAAACAAGGGAGACATGAGAAAACTGTGACCAATACTGGAGAATGGGATGTGCCACCGTTTAAACAGGAGCACAGTTAGATGTCATGGACATTTGTTAGATGGTCATGGAATGACACTAAGTCCAAAACAAATACCTTAATTATAAAAGGCTATTTATCATTTGAGTCAATGACCCTAGCCTTTGTTCATTTTCTTTTTATAGGATTAGGGAAGAAACAGTTCACAATTTATTGGAAAACTACAAAGTTCAATTCAGCAATGTTTAGAAAGTGCTTGAGTTCTTGGGATTAAAACACTTTTAAATGTTTTCCTTTTAGTTTGGGGGGTATAAATTGAAATAATTTTGTAATCTAAATGCCATAAGTGAGCTTGTATATGAAACCCAATCATTAAAAAAAATTGTGATTACATTTTGAATTTCCTTTTTCTTTTTCTGATGGAAAACCTAGGGTCTGATGGGCAGTGCTTCCTGGGAGACCAAAATGGCAGTTAAAACCAAAATAAACCTTGCTCATATTTTATGCTTTCTCTCCAACATTATGATTTATAAACAAGACATTAAACTGTCCAGTGCTGCTGGCTAAATTTCTCCTGAAGTAATTCAACAAGATTCTGAGTCCAACTTGAGCATTATAAAAAGCTCGGGCTCCTATCTCTCAGGGCAGCTTGCTCAGCTTTGACAGGACTGGCAGAGCTCCTCAGTCTAGGTCATCTGTGAGGAAGAAGACTGTTTAATGAAGACCTTCTGCTTGAGCAAGCCATGTCAGGAAGCACCAAGGACTGGGCTACCTGGAGGGCAGGTGAGATGGGAGCAACAAGTGCCAGTGAGGCAGCAGGGCCAGTGTCCACACCGAGCAGGGGGCATCCTGGCAGGACCCCAGACAGGCAGGGGGGCAGGCCCAGGGATGGCAGCCAGAGTTGGTGACAGTTCAGTGACTGTCAGGTGAGTCTAGGGACAGGGCAGGTCCAAGCTGCAGATAGGAAGCTCAGTCAGCAAGGCAAGGTCAGGATCCTCAAGGTGCAAGTCTGGGCACTACTACAGTGTAGCAGGCTTAGGCAGGGACCCTAAGCCTAGCTACAGCATTGCTCAGGTAAGAATCACAGGCAAGGGTCTGAGCTTGAAAACAGCAGAGGACCCAGACAAGGCTTCTCATAGCTCTTTCTTTCAACTTGGCTGTTTTCACAGCACCCTGATCCAAGGTTACAGAACAGCATCATGTCTGAGCTGGCCTTGAGTACTGACGGTAAAACTCCTAGGAGTAGGGAAAGAGGT